CTTTATATAAGCAGATGAAACTACTTTTGTAAGATTTAAAGTGTATATTTTGGGACTCCATGGGGTATTATCTGTATTTTTTGGAAGTTGTGACTGAGGCTTGTAGTATTCACACTTCATCAAGTATGGTACTCAACTATAACATTTGTGGGTGTGTGCGAAGTAAATATTGACCCTGTATACCTGCATTAAGCTATATTTTGTGCTGGTGGTCAGACATGGCCTATTTTCTATTTTCAGTTGCATTGAGTTTCATACTAATTTTTACCTAGCCCTTTGGGTACGTAAGATACAAATTGTCTGATAGCAGCTGAAGGGTACTTAGGTGAATGGGTATTCTGTTCTGATAGCAATCTGTTAAGCAAAAGTATCCTGAGCACCTTATCCAACCCACACTGTATCCTGACTTTCTCCAAGTACTTTATGAGAACACAGTATAGTTAGGATTTGAAACACAAAGGAGTTGAAATTTTCACAGGTGCACTCCACACCTTGATAATGGAACCAAGCAACATCACCCAAGATTCCTGGCTCCCTGGCTTGAAGCAATTTAGAACAGTTTTACAAATGCATTAGTACTATGCCAATTGTAGAGGTAGTCAGATGTAATTTGACACTCTTTTTTTTCCCCAGAAAGTCATAGATTACCCTCCTGCCCTAAAAAACCTTTTCAAAGGCTCCACTTAAAGATCTTTTTTCCATTCTGTATTTCCTCATTTTTCAATCTGTTTGGTTTTCAATTTTCTTTTCCCACCTACTGTTCCTTCTCAAACTGCCTCAGCAGATGTTGAGTAGATTTATGTTACTGATTCATATTGCAATCTTAATGTTCCAATTCAAAACTCATGTATTAATGTGTATACTATCTACATTCCTTGAAAGCTTTTTCAATAGCCTATGCTGGAAAATGACCAATGAATGTACCTGGCATTGCTTTTAAGTCTTTCTTTGGTGGGGGGCTGGGGGTTGGGAGAAGGAAAAAAAAAACCCCAGACTATCTGGAAGAGTTGCTAAGGCCTGTGACCATGAAGAATAACTTTTTATGCTCCCCGATTCCTTGCTCACTAGGACTATTTTACCATCCCTCAATTGTCTCCATTTAAGTTGAATATAAGACTATTGTTCTTGAATTGCACAGCTTTGATTTTAAGTGGTTCTGAAGCTTCCAGTTAGGAGATGCTGTTTAAATTTGGAGACTATTATTTTGACACAGTTCAGCAGCCCCCACACACCCTCTTTATTCTTTTGGAACTGCCAATTGCATGGAAAATAACAATGCAACTTCTTTGACTTTTTGTTAAACTGTTTCTAAAAATTTTCCTAGCATTCGCTTGAGACCAGTCTTTAATAAAAGCAATGGTTGCTGATATAGCACCTGCTCCATATTGCCCGGTGCTTTTGGTGATAAATTTACATTGCAAAAAGAACCTTTCAGCCTGAAGTTCCTGAAGGCCAGGAGGATGCTTGGCAGTTCAGTTTTGACACAACCAGTGCTGGGATAGAGGACACCTGCAGACGCTTAGCCCTCTGCATGGACTGAAAACACAAACTGTCTTCTGCTAGCACAGGCTCTATCCTCCAGCTCCCCAGTGACGATTCTGATGGAGGGCAGCCCTGTGTTCTCAAGATGACTTGTGATTTAATCATTATGGAATGTATTCCATAATCTAAACTTCGGTAAATTGTACACATAAAAGTGTGGTTCATCTAGTGGACGGGTGTTTTTACTGGCACAAAAACAGACACACAGATCAAGTAACTGAACAGAGAGTCCAGAAATAAACCCACACCTAAATGGTCAGTTAATCTACAACAGAGGAGGTAAGACTATATCAATGGGGTAAAGGTAGTCTGTTTAGTAAATGGGTTGGGAAAACTGAGTACATGCAAAACAATGAAACTAGACTAATAGATTTAAATTTAGGACCAGAAACTATAAAATTCCTAGAGGAAAATTTGGGCAGTAAACTCTTTCATAGTTGTCTTAGCAATTTTTTTTGGATATGTCTTCTTGGGCAAAGGCAACAAAAGCAAAAGTAAATAACTTGGGCAAAGAGCACACTCTGGCTCTCTTTTAAGGATGATTTCCAGAGTGGCCATAGAATAATTTGCTTCTATCCTCAATTAGTATTTAGTCACATACTCATTTCTAGATAGAACTAGCGATGTATACAGTTAAAAATTCTTTTTCTATGGAAGAAGAGGAGAATGTATTTTGAGGGACAAATATCAAAGGATTTGTTAGTCTATACCTATCTGTTTAGTTCTTCTTCATGTTACCCCATGAACCCCATGTACCAGCCTAAAGTCTTCTTGTTACCCTGGGTTGAAAGGGACTGCCTCCTCTTCTAAAGCATCTAGCACTTTTTTAAGAAAAGATTTTATTTATTCATTTTTAGAGAGGGGATGGGAAAGAGAGAAGGAAACATCAATGTGCGATTGCCTCTCATCCGCCCCCTACTGGGGATCTGGTCTGCAACCCAGGCATGTGCCCTGACTGGGAATCTATCAGTGACCCTTTGGTTCACAAGCCAGCACTCAGTCCACTGAGCCACACCAGCCAGGCTGCATCTGGCACTTTTTATCTGGATTGTATTGATCATGTGCTGAGCTGAGCTGCTGTCATTCATCAACATATGACTTTCCTTAAGTCATAAGTCTCACCACAGTGTAAGTGTCTGTGGTAGTCACACATAGTCTGTGTCTTATGTGTGTATAATACTTTGTTGAGTGCCTGGTAAAAAATTGGGTGTTTTCTTTTTAAGATTTTTATTTTATTCTTATAATATTTTTATTGATTATGCCATTACAGTTGTCCCATTCTCCCCCTCATTCCCCTTCCCCCTGCACACCCCCTTCCATACACATTCCCCCCCTTTAGTTCATGTCCATGTGTCATAAGTTCTTTAGCTTCTACATTTTCATACTATTCTTGCCTTCCCCCTATTTTTTCCCCACTGTCTATGCTACTTATTCTCTGTACCTTCTCCCCCCTCTCCTCCGCCCACTCCCCGGTTGCTAACCCTCCATATGATCTCCATTTCTGTGGCTCTGCTCCTGATCTAGCTGTCCTCTTAGTTTGCTTTGGTTTTAGGTGTGTTTGTTAATAACTGTGAATTTGCTGTCCTTTCACTGTTCATCTTTTTTATCTTCTTTTTCTTGGATAAGTCCATTTAACATTTCATATAATAAGGGCTTGGTGATGATGAACTTCAACTTGACCTTATCTGAGAAGCGCTTTATCTGTCCTTCCATTCTAAATGAAAGCTTTGCTGGATAGAGCAATCTTGGATGTAGGTCCTTGCCTTTCATGACTTGGAATACTTCTTTCCAGCCCCTTCTTGCCTGTAAGGTCTCTTTTGAGAAATCAGCTGACAGTCTGATGAGAACTCCTTTGTAGGTGACTGTCTCCTTATCTCTTGCTGCTTCTAGAATTCTCTCCTTCATTTTAATCTTGGCTAATGTAATTATGATGTGCTTTGGTGTGTTCCTCCTTGGGTCCAACTTCTTTTGGATTCTCTGAGCTTCCTGGACTTCCTGGAAGTCTATTGCCTTTGCCAGATTGGGGAAGTTAACCTTTATTATTTGTTCAAATAAGTTTTCCACTTGTTGCTCTTCCTCTTCCCCTTCTGGTAGCCCTATAATTAGGGTATTGGACGTTTGAAGATGTCCTGGAGGTTCCTAAGCCTCTCCTCATTTTTTTGAATTCTTGTTTCTTCATTCTTTTCTGTTTGTTTGTTTCTTTCTTCCTTCTGGTCCACTCCATTGATTTGTGTCCCAGTTTCCTTTCCATCACTGTTGGTTCCCTGTGCATTTTGCTTCATTTCATTTGGTGTAGCCTTCATTTTTTTCATCTAATTTGTGACCAAAATCAACCAATTCTGTGAGCATCCTGATCACCAGTGTTTTGAACTGTGCATCTGAAAGTTTGGCCATCTCTTGGTCGCATAAAAGTATTGGCTGTGGCGTTTTGATTTGTTCTTCCATTTGAGCCATGATGTTTTGGTCTGTTTGCACTTGTTACGTATGAGAAGTGGAGTCTTAGGTGTTCACCAGGGCAGGTCAACCCGGTAGCTGGCTTGTGAGCTGTACATGGGGGCGGGGTCAGAGAGGGAACAATGGTGCTTTCTCTGCTTGTATTTCAGTCCCTTCTCTCCTTCCCCCATGGAAACTGGGCCCTTCTGGTGCTGGTTCCTGGGTGGGTGGGCTTGTATACATTCTAGAACCTTGTGGGTCTGTCCAACGAACTCTTTTGTGAAGCTGGGGGAGTCTCTTCTGGCACCTCAACCCCCACAAGTGTTTTCAGTCAGTGCTTTTAAGCTTTATTTCCCGTTGCTGGGGCCCTGGGTCAGGCAGTCTCTCTTGCTGCTTGTTTCCCCAGGGTTTATATGTGTGCGAATGTGTGACTGAGGTCTGCGGCCACCTTGTGTGCCTCACTGGGTCTGCTCATTTCCTCCCTGTGCCCAGGGTCTGCTAGCCCCATGCTGCTTGCGTGCTTGGGTCCACCAGCAACCACTTTTTCCTGCCATGACCCTTCTCTGCCGACCGCCGACTCCACCCCTCTTACTCGTTTGGATGAATGGTTGTCAGACTTTTGTACAGTTCAGTTTTCTGTCTGTTCTGGTTGTATTCTTGTTTCTAAATATTTGTTGTCCTTAATTTTGGTTGTGGGAGGAGGCATAGTATTTTCACCTCCATCTTGGCCAGAAGTCCTAAGATTTTTATTTCTTTTTAGAGAGAGAGGAAGGAAGGGAGGAAGAGAAGGAGAGAAACATCAATGTGTGAGAGAAACATTGGTTGCTTCATATGTGCCCCTAACCAAGGACCCAGCCTGCAACCCAGGCATGTGCCCTGACTGGGAATTGAACCATTGACCTTTCAGTTTGGGGGTGATACCCAGTCCATTGAGCCACACCAGTCAGCACAATGGCTAGTTCTTAATAAATATTTCTTAGGAAAAGTAATAATCTTGATGACCTGGTTTCCTGTGTAATTTTCAGGAAAGGAAGATGGATCAACCTAGTGGAAGGAGTTTTATGCAAGTATTATGTGAAAAATACAGTCCTGAAAACTTTCCTTACCGCCGTGGTCCTGGGATGGGAGTCCACGTCCCAGCTACCCCTCAGGGCTCTCCTATGAAAGGTAAGAAAAATAGGACCCACAATGTTTATTTGCTGGAGCTTACTTAAGGCATTAAACCAGAATAGTACCTTTTTATAAATGATTTTCTTTATTTTGAATTATGAGTCAAAAGGTCTTTCTCCCTTGTCATGATTTCAGTGTTTTGAAAATCATGAAAGGACCTGTTTTTCTTCTGATTGACCAAAAAGCATTTTATTTATTTATTTTTAGAAAGAGGAGAAGGGAAAGAGAAAGGGAAAGAAGCATTGATATGAGAGAAAAACATTGATCAGTTGGCTCTTGTATGTGCCCTGACCTGGGACCTACCCACAACCCAGACACAATTGAACCAGCAGCCTTTAGCTTTACCAAATGATGTCCAACCAAATGATGAGCCACACCGGTCAGGGCATAGGCAAATGGCATTTTAGTAGCACTCATACATAGGGCAGGAACAACATTTCAGTGATAATATTTCAACTACATATTCTTTCAAGGAAATGGTAGGCTGCAAGACACTACAAAACTGTACTATACTCTCAGCAGCCTAACAACATAATTAAATTTCAAGAGTTACACTTGAAAAAAAAATAGAACACCAGGTAGTTTATGTTGAGCCAAATGGATGGCCCAGTGATTGGGAAAGAAGTTTAGAAGAGAGTTAATTAATATGATCAGAAAAGGGTTCCAAGTTGTATGACTGGAACTGACCTCTTAGGAATGTAGAAGCTGGTTAGAGAGGAGATAAGGACCATCTAGAAGAGGGATTATACGTGAGCAGAGATCTACAACTAGAGGTGTGCGGGTTGTGTTTTTGCTTGCATTTTAGCTTAATGTTGTAATTAAGTTCTTTGTAATTATGGGAGGTTGTTATTGAGCATGTTTGAGTTCCTGTGTCCAGAGGTCACTGAGCATGTTTTGTTCCTCAGTGCAGCTGTCATATCGCTCCACATAAACTGGAACGGCAGAAAGAAGGAGACTTCTCACTTGGTCATTGTTTTCAGGATTCATTCTCATTCTGAAAACTAATACTGATAAATACTAAGTTTGAAAAAATAATATAATTTGAGGCCTTTGTTAATAAATATTACCTTTATGAATCCTTGTTTCATACCAAATAGGGAAGGCGTAGTTGAATTCTCACATTTATCCTTCTTATTAGAGATGGTAAGTGATATTATTGACACATGGAACAGAAGTAGTATAACAGAGACTATCTTTAATGGTTTGAGATCATTTTAAAAGGTGGAAATACATACCAGACAGAAAAGAGCTATCCAGAGTGATGCTGTTAAACTAAATTTCTAAAATGAAAGAATTAAGGCCGATAAGGTAACGGTCATCAGACATGAATCACATAGGGCTCGTGTTCAGAGGACAAGGTGATAGTATGGATGATGTATAAGCAGTTCTGCTGGGAAGTAAAGCTGACAGGACTTTTTTTGTGGTACTGGTCCAGTACTTCCCATGTCCTCCTTATTCATTTTTGAGCCAAACTATCTCCTGGTTCACATTTGACTATTTCCACTTAGAATTCAGAGCCCTTGGATCCCATCACAGTCTATATCTTCTAGGTCCTTGTGTAGTTTCCCACAATTTGATTTTGACCTCTGGGGCTGAACTTGTGTAGACAAGAATTAGGCTGACTTCAAGGTGTTGTGCTCCCCCTTTGATTCAGACCGCCTCAACCTCCCCAGTGTCCTGGTGCTGAACAGCTGCGGGATAACCTGTGCGGGGGACGAGAAGGAGATCGCTGCCTTCTGTGCTCATGTGTCAGAACTCGACCTTTCTGACAACAAACTGGAAGACTGGCATGAGGTAAAAGTTTTAGAGTGCTGTGTTTTAATGGAATGTGACTAAAATCATTGTATTGTTTATATTAAGTATTCTGCTGAATTCAACTCTCACTTGAGATTCTTGTTTGTGTGTTTCAAGATAAATGTTTCAGCTCGTACGGTAATATTTCAGTAGACTTGGTTATTGCTAATTTGTTTTTTATTAATGTGAAAAGCACTTTATTCCAGGCATCAAAAGGTTGATAAGACTACAGACATTTAAACTGCTAGCAATGCATAGAATTTTCCATTGTTTCACTAGTTTATATATCCTATCTGTAGTTATTCTCTATTACTACTTCAACACTTATTACTATAGATTTATGTAAAATTGCTTGAGGTTAAAACTAAGATTATAAAAATATTCTTGTTACTGAAATTTATTCCATATACTTTAGAATGTTTTTTTATTCTGTTGTGTCTTTGGTGGTTTAATATAACTGATGTCTTTTGATGTCAAAGTAACTCTAAACCAAGTACACAAATAACAATATAACATTCTTTCTTGTTATTATATGTATTACTATCTGTCTGATTATAGACAGGTAGTACCTAATTACCTAATAGAAGCTACCCTTAAGAATAAGGAAAAAATAGTTTTTCCTACTTGATTTCTTCTCCTGACATAATTTAGGCTCTTATTTCTTGCTTGGAAAAGCTTATTAATGGGTTATCCTGTATCAGTTTTATTCTGCTTCCTCTAAACTTTTTCATCTAAGTGACTAAATGAAGTATGGTTGACTCTCTCCTGTGTGAAGTCCTTTAGCTGTGTTTTACTGCACAGAAATCGAAGTCTGAACTCTAGGTGTGGCCCTCCATCATGTGGTCCTTGGCCATTTCCAGAGCTCTGTCTTTACCTTGAGTCCATGCTTCTTCTTGCAGCTCATGATGAACTTTTGACATAAGAGGCTTCTTGCTTTAAATTCATTCTGAATCTGTTGCTCTTCCTATATCTTTCAAGACTTGGCCCAGGCGGCCTTTCCTCTGTGAAACTTTCCTTGCTATCATGCAGGCAGAGCCAAATATCCTGCTGTATCCTGCTGATGTGAAAGGACCCATAACAATGGGCTACAATCACTTGTTTGCTTGAGGAAAATGAGCGTATTCAATGTAGAGATTTTTGTCTATTTATCATCAGTGCCCAGCATACTAGGCACCCAAATGTTTGTTGAATTCATTAATGAATAAGTTATTTTATCTTAAGGATTGATCAAGAAGATCACTGCTTCAACTCTTGTGATCTTAGGAAATTCATTTAATTTTTTAGTGCTTTTGTTTGCTCATCCGTAAGACAGGATTACTGATGAAATCAGTCATTGAGACACTTTGTAGATATTAAATGCTCTACAAATTCTAAAGCAACTTTCTTTAAGAAAAATCTATCTGTAACCTACCTTTCTTCAGCTTTTCTTATATTTATTAATTTCAAAGTCTTTTAATCTGGTGGTTGTGTATTTCCCAGTTCTAGTAAGATGTTTACCAGAATTCTTTGAGAGGCATGTCACTTGATTTCTAAGTGACTGGTTACTATGTACAGATTTATTAGGCTGTTCCAAAACAAAAACTCAACTATATTCATACATGTATTTATTTATTTAAACAACTAGTATAGTTTACTCTTAAATTAAGAAAAGTGCCTTCTTTGTCCTTTGAGGTGCTTAATTGACATGCGCGCTCTGCCCACACTGGACAGATGAGGACAGAATGGCCTTGCTAACCCCCACTCTGTGGTTTCTGCTGGTGTCTGCCATAGTCCTGCTGTGCAGCCTCCGGTGGCACTTTCTGACCTGCGTGGTGACGAGTCAGACCCAACCTTCCTCTGAACCACTTCAGCCCCTGTGTGTGTGGCTGATTTTCCCAACTATGTTTCTGTGGGAGTCAGGTTACACGGCAACGCTGGCCTTTGACCACAAACAGGAGTTTTTGCTGACTGGTGGGAATAGATTGATGGTGATGTGGTTGCCACCTCTGAAGACAATTTTATGTCAGTATGGATCAGGACACAGTTGGCACCAAATAATTCTGCCTTTCCTCTGCTTGGACAAGGATCCACGCGAGATATTTTTCAGGCCACGATGGCATATCTAGCCAGAAGGTCACATTTATTTGTACTCTGCTTAGTCTGTGTATTCCTATATATATGCTCTTAGTTTGTTTTTAAATCAGTGTTTGTTGTTGCTACCCTTCAGGTTTCTACTTTCCAGTTTATTTTTGTTTTCATCATTGCTTTGTGTTTTGTCCTCAGCCTTAAATGTCATTTGTCCCAGTCTTCTAGAATATATATCAAACACAGATAGATGGTAGAAATACTGATGGCAAAAGGATATTGATTTTTAGGATTGATTAAACTCTTCACCAGGCTACAAAAGCCTCATCAGTCACAGTTTTAAGATAGTACATTTCAGCCCCATTGCAGCCATACCTGATTACCAAAAAGACCATTTGTCTCTGTCTGTTAAGTTTATTCAGCCAGTATTCGATATAGCAGTGTGGAACAGAAATGTGTAATTTGTAATTTGGGTGTTTTGAATGGTCACTACTGCTATGAGGAACTTCTTTTGTAGCTTAAACTGCTGGCTGCTACATGCCCAGAGACTACGATAAATGTGAGTGAGGAGTGTAATACTGTGGGGAAAGCAAAGATTTGTTTCTGTCCTTCTGAGATTAGTCATCTTTGTGTTTTTAAAAAATGCATTTTTTAGCTTTCAACTTGACTTTTTGTCTAACTAGATTTTAGTCTGACCCTTCCCAAAGTAACTCCTTTTTTCTGCCTTTCTTATCAAAAACCATTTTATAAAAGAAATTACACCAAGTAGTTGAGAGGAGGGAGGAATTAGCCACAAAGATGAGATAGAGAATAGTTGGATATAAATTATGGTTGTTCTCTTACAATGCTTTCCCCATTTTTCTTCAAACTGTAATTTCTTTCTATTTAGAAGCCAGAGTCGAGGGTCCCCTGTGAAGTCATAGAATTGTGGAGACTTCAAAGGAGATCTCAGTTCCTCTCCTTGTTTCTGCCCATGAATATTTGTAATTCACTCAAGCTAGAGGAGTTTTTATTCTTTTATTTTTTAATTTTAGAATTTAAAAAAGAAAAGTCAATATGCTGCCATAGAAGCTTATTGAACATTTGTCAGTCTTTGCAATTAGGATATTTTTCTGCCATAAATATGTTTACTTATATAATGAGTATTATATTTTTCAGAATCTTATCATTAATTTAAGGTTACCCTAAAATTCTTAATAATTTTGCCTTTCAAAGAAAATATTTATTTCTAATTATATTATTTTCCCTCTTTAATTATTAGACAATAGTCCGATTTTTATCTTTCTGCAATATTCCAGAGCTAATAAGTCATTCTAAATCTTTATTCTTTTGGACAGTAGTTTACATGCAGACTGTGTAAAAGATTACATCAATATCTGTTAGCTTTGGGAATTCTCTCAGAAATTACTTCAAAAACACTTAAATTATCAATCTTTTAAAAATATTTAGTTATTGATTGTAGGGGGCAGGGAGGAAGAGGAGGAGGAGAAAACAGAGAGAGAGAAGTACTGATTCATTGTCTTCGCTTATTCATGGGCTTAGCATGTGGGCCTGACCAGGGACTGAACCCATAGCTATGGCGCATTGGAACTGTGCTCTCACCAGCTGAGCTGTCTGCCAGGATGAATGATCCTGACAGATAAAAAATCCTCCCAGGATTTTTTACTATTTAACTCTTTATTACAAAAATAAAATATGGGGGGGTTAGTAAAGGGTTAATCCTTTATTTAACTGGGGCTGTACTGTAATTAGCAGTTATTCTTCATGCTGTAGTGGAACCAGGATTCTTCTTCATCTCTTTCCCTCACAAGAGATAAGTAAACACAGGTAGGTGTCACCTATGCGAAAGCCCTTCGCACCATTAGTGCTCAGCCAGGGGAAAGCAATAGAGGACTGTTCGCAGCGCATGGACTTTTTTTGCTGTGCTGTGGCCACAAACTAAACTCCAGGTCCTAGCCATACATCACACAAATGTTTCATCCAGCAGAAGAATAATGTGCAGACAAGTATAAATTTCTGACACTGTAAACTGAAGCCTCATATATTTTCCCTAAAAGATAGCCAGTTTTTTCCATTTGTAAAGTGAAAGTAAAGATGGTATCACTTTAAAGCAGGGGTGTCAAACTCATTTTCACTGGGGGTCATATCAGCCTCATGGTTGCCTTCAAAGGGCCAAAATAATTTTAGGACTGTATAAATGTAACTACTCTTTAACTGTTAAGGAGTTGAAATTACACTCAGTCCTTTGAAGGCATCTGCGGGGCTAATATGGCCCCCAGGGGAAAATGAGTTTGATACCCCTGCTTTAAAGGGTTAGCATGAAGAATAGATGAAATAATGTGTGTGAAGACCATTCCCTCTGATATACTTCTCTGAACCTTCTTGGAATTGATCTACTTCTCACTAATTTTAGAGTTTCTGAACTGTATCATACACAGCAAGTCTGATGTAAAAGTACAGGTTACTCTTTACTTCTGCCCATGGTTCCCAACACTGGACACCTTTCTGACATTACCTCTGGAGCTCTAAAGAGAACCAGGCATCCAGGTGTCACCAGGAAGCCCGCCCTACCTGTGAAGCTTCCAATTCAGTGATTCAGCTTGGATCCTAGGAATCAGTATATTTTTGAAATTGTAGCGGTGATTTTAAATAAGACATTTAAATACAATAAACATGACATGACATATAGCCAGGATTGAGGTATTGGTTCATAGCAAACTCATATTAGTAATAGTTGTATTATGGAATGATTTCGTACTGTTAGTTTATTTAATAGACATTAAGTGCCCATATGCAGTAGTGAACTAGGTGAGTACTAGCCCTGCTTTTGTAGATTACATTCTTTTGGGGAATAGGTAAGGAAACAGGTTTCTAAAAAATGAACCAAGCACTGTGTTGTGCTTTACACATATATCGCACTTAACTCTACCAACAATTCTGTGAAATAGATGAGCACTATTTTCTTTAAGTTCTGAATGAGGAAACTGAGATGTGAAAAGGTTGAGAAATTTGTCAAACCACACAACTAGGAAGTATTGGAACCTGGTTTGAATGCAGCTTTTCCAACTCAAAAACCAATGCAAATTATTCTGTTGTTGGCTTTCCTCAAGCTCCTTTCAGTTAACCACATTAATGTTTAATGCATTCTCTGGGCTTCTAGCATTTATTTTATACTGCTTTAAGCTTACTTCTCATTTTTTGTTCTGGTTGTAGTTATAATTTACTAGTTGTGGTACAGGGGTCCACCTTTACCCATGGGGTATACATTCCAGGAGCCCCAGTGGGTGCTCAAAGCTGCAAGTACCAAACCCTCTACAGACTGCATTTTCTTGTTCATACACACATACACTTGATGGCTTCTCTTCGGCGCATCAGAATTGCCAGCATCACTACTCTTGTGCTTTGGCATTATTATTAAGTAAAAGAAGGATTACTTAAATAACAGTTGATCTGGTAACCAAGATGGCCACTAAGTGATGAATGAATGGGTGGGGACAGGTAGTGCATTCAGCATGGATAGGCTGGGGAAAGGGATGATTCCCTTCCCTGGTAGGCAGGAGTGGGATAGAATGAGATTTCATCATGCTGCTCACAGTGGTGCCTGATCTAAAACCTATGACTGCTTTATTTGTGGAATTTTCCACTTAATATTTTCAGAGTATGACTGACCATGGGTAACTGACACCATGGAAAGCAAAACTGCAGGTAAGGGGGGACCACTGTGTTCTGGGAAGAGTAGGGCTCTGATTTTTAAATTCTAGGTTTGGCTTTTGTGACTCTGAGATTTTATATAATGTGAGATGTTGATTATTTGACATCTCTGACTCAGTTTATTTATTAAAATGAAAATAGTATTAGTGATCTTGCAGGTGGCTTCAGAATGTAGTGAAATTACATCAAAGAGACTATTACTATCCAGAACAAATACTTATGCTCAGTAATGCTTAATTCCTTTTTTAAACATTTTTTTCTACCAAATTTCTTGCTAAATCATTAAATTGATGATCATATTTTGATATGTAGTTATAGATGATTTTTAATATTTTTAGCCAATATAGGTTAAAGTTTAGTGCATCTTTGAGCCAAGCTGTCACTGTTTTCTAAGTGATTATGGCTATGTATAATTTTGAACACCTGAACACAGTCAATTTTGAACACCTGAGTTGTTGCTTTGTGGCCTTCAGTAAAGTTTTAATTAGCCTTAATTTGTAATGAGGATGGAAAGAAGGAGCTTTTCAAAGAGAATTACATGACCCAATTTCAGTTCCCTAGAAATCCATGCCTAAAATGTCATCTAAACTCTCCTTTCTCCATTTGTCAAAGAAAATATCATATAGAACAGAACCAAAAACCTTGTCAAAGACAACGAGGAAAATCTTCCTGTTGGTACCATTATTTCCACTTATGATATTTCATAGAGAGAGATTAAGTTATTTGCCCAGATTTGTTGAAATTATTTAGGCGCCTCTGTGGGCGATGTCACTAAACAGAATTCCCTAATGTGAAGGGCCCTTTGCCTGGAGACAGCCTCACTTCGGCTTTTGTGGGCATGATTGCTATTTATAGCCTCTGATTGCCGCCTGATATGCTTCTTTTTTTTCTCCCTAGGTCAGTAAAATTGTGTCAAATGTTCCCCAGTTGGAGTTTCTAAACCTGAGTTCCAACCCTCTGAATTTGTCGGTTTTAGAAAGAACGTGTGCTGGGTCCTTCTCGGGGGTTCGCAAACTTGTCCTCAATAACAGCAAAGCTTCTTGGGAGACGGTCCACACGATACTGCAGGAGTTGCCAGAGTAAGCCTGGAGTGCGTGGTGGAGGGGCTGAGTGCTCATCTGCGTTAGCACAGAGAGTCCCTGCAGATCTTCCCCCACAGGAACACTAGAGCTGCAGATATGACAGAGAATGGTTGTAGAATGAACTTATTACACTGAGGGTGTGAGTGTGACTTAGTAGCATTTTTATTGGAATGCTTGTTCGGTGTTGAGTAACACCATGACATAGGATATGTCATTCTTTAGCTAGAAAATATCCCTGAGAAGCACATATCATTCTAGATCAACCCAGCCTTTCTTGTTTTTAATCTTCTGATTACGTGATTTCAGAATTTTGCCTCAACCCTTTTCTTTAGGAGAAAAGAAAATCAGTGTCTCTAAAATATATTAACACCGAGATGATTAAGTACATAGCTGGCCTCATTGGAAATGAACCTGGTATCCTTTTCAATAACTTGAGCAAGAAATTATACTTTGGTCAGTTTAGAAGTATCTATTTGTATCTATCTTTGAATAGCATAAATGTTAAAGGGAGTAGTTTGAAGAAATAGATGAATCTGCAGTTTCTTTAACTGTATAAAGTATAAATGTGAACATTACCAGAGCCTCACAGACTTTGGTCTCAGTCCACTGAATCCATCTCAGTTTCTTACTGTAACTCTGAAGAGCTGGGTCTCCTCAAGGCTAATCCTACAACCTTTGATAAGCTGATTAACCTCTTTGAGCTCTATTTCCTTATTTATAAAATAGGTATAATGATATCTACCTTGCAGAAATAGAAGTACAAGCTATAAAACACCTGACACGATGTCTGACACATGGTAGAAATTCAATAAATGGTAGTGATTGTGTTATTCTTAAAATTTGTCCATGTTGTTTCTGGAATTTTCTTCCATCTTCTCCCAACTTATGCCCCTCCTTCAAGGTTATGCACCCTTTCCTGATTATTCAAACTACAGTTGTAATTCCATTCCTGTATGGAACACTGTGGTACTTGTAGTTAGTACTGCTTAATAAAGCACAAAAGTAATTCAGTACTGGGTTGTATCTTTCTCCACTGTATTCCCAGCTGTATTTTAAGCTTCAGGAAGATGTCTTTATATTTTCTCTACAACACCTAGGAGAGTCTCACACATAGTAGGCACTTATTGTTTCTTGAATAAATGAAAATAGATGCAAAGTAGAAAATTAACTGCTCTGAACAGTGAAGTATTTCCTTTTTCCTCTGCAGTTTGGAGGAGCTCTTCCTGTGCCTTAACGACTATGAAACAGTGTCTTGTCCTTCTGTTTGCTGTCCTTCTCTGAAGCTCCTGCATATAACAGACAATAACCTCCAGGACTGGACTGAAATACGAAAGTTAGGAGTTATGTTTCCTGCGCTAGACACCCTCGTCCTGGCCAACAATCATGTGAATGCTATTGAGGAGCCTGATGATTCACTGGCCAGGTTGTTTCCTAATCTGCGATCCATCAGCCTCCACAAGTCAGGTGAGGTGCAGGCTTGTTCCCATTCTACATGCAAACTTATATGCACTTGTGCATGAGTACAGTGAAAGTGTATTTCCTTATCAATTCTGCCTTCTTATAGGATGCATTTTCAAGAGCAACGTGCAGATGCCTATTGATTATCTGAATTTGACATTTTCATCAAGTGGCCTAGCATTACATTAGCTATTTACATGTTTTATATTAAAGGCTGTATTTATGTATTTCATATACATAAAGTTATGTATGAAAGGAGTGAAATTAATGTATAATAAAAGGCAGAATAAAAAAAGAATATAAGGAATTACAAACTAGACTGTTTTGTCTGGATTTAGGTTAGGGAGCCCTAACCTGCTATGTCTTTCAAGTGCTCTTTTCTCTTTTGTCATACTTACATATAATTGATTGCCAGTTTCTTGCCACCTGTAACTCTGTGTATCATGGGAGTGAATATTTTTAGCCTTTTAAAAAATAATAAAATTTATTTTTTAGAGAAGTTTTAGATTCACAGCAAAATTGAACAGAAAGTTCCTGCATCTTCCCTGCCTTCACACATGTACAGCCTACCCCACTATTCATATCCCAGCACCAGAGCAATACATTTGCTACAGTGGAGCCTACACTAACACACCATCCTCACCCAAAGTGCACAGGTGACCTTAAGGTTTGCTCTTGGTGTTGTACATTTTATGGGTTTGGAAAATTTATAATGACACATAGCTATCAGTGTAGTCTAACAGGTGACACTTTCATGCCTCCAACAATCCTCTGTGCTCCATCTGCATATTCTCTTCCTCCCCAGTCCCTGACATCCACGGATCTGTTTACTGTCTCCATAGTTCTGCCTTTTCCAGATATATAGTTGGAATCACACGGTATGTAGCCTTTTTAGATTAGTTTCTTTCACTTAATAATACACATTAAAGTTTCTTTTATGTCTTTTCATGGCTTCATAGCTTATTTCCTTGTAGCACTTCCATTCTCTAAGGCTTAACCCATGCCAGCCGGTTGTCCGGATGGACTGCAGTTTACCCACTCACAAACCTCAGGAGTCTTGGTTGTTTCCAAGCTTTGGCAATTATTAATAAATCTGCTGTAAACCTCCATGTGCAGGTTTTTGTGCAGGCACAAAGTTTTGGTTCATCTGGGTAAATACCAAGGAAGAAAATTGCTAGATGATGTGGTAAGAGTGTGTTTAGTTTTGTAAGAAACTGCCAAACTGTCTTCAAAAGTAGCTGTAACGCTTTTCATTCCCACCAGCAATGAACGAGAGCTCCTGTTGCTTCACATTCTTGTCATCATTTGATGTTGTCATTGTTTTGGATTTTGGCAATTTTAATAGGTGTGTAGTGGTATCTTATTGTTGATTTAATTTGCAATTCCCTACTGACATATGATGTTGAATATCTTTATGTGCTTACTTGCCATCTATGTATCTCCTTTAGTGAGGTATCTGTTCAGGTCTTTTTTTGCCCATTGTTTAATTAGGTTATTCATTTTCTTATTGTAGAGTTTTAAGAGTTCTTTGTATATTTTGGGTAATAATCTTTTATGAGATGTGTCCTTAGCACATATATTCTCTCATTGTGTGGTTTTTTTTCTCCTTCTCTTGACATTGTCTTTCGGCCTATTTTTTAAAATAGCTACATACAGTAACTAAAAATAATTAACCCACAACTGAAAAAAACAGTTGAATTTGCCATAGAAGTAATAAGGGTGGGAACTAAATTTTAAAAACCAGTATTTTGCATAAGGAAACTGTTTGTTGCATAACTCAACACCCCTTGAGCTAATTCTGTTCTTCCTTCTGGATGGGAATGCCATTCCGAAGGGAAGAGGGCAGTTGGGACTTGGAATAGTCACGCCCATAGTCCTCATAAGTTGTTCCTCTGCCTTTACCATTGTGGAAGGCTGCTAGAGCTAGGAAGGGGCTGTGCTCTGTAACGTGGGTTTCATGTGCTGTAAAACTGACTGGTATCATTACAGGAATATTGCTCCTACCAGTGTCAATATTGCTCCTACCATTGACTTGGGTGATGCATTTGCTCACAGTCATGGGAATAGTTTTGTTTTGGGACTAAATGAACTTAATTTGTTGCATGTTTTTTTTTTTACTTAAAGGCTCAGGTTTTTTGTTTTAAATTTCTTAAGTCTGTTTTCCCTCTCCCCAAAATGAGGATGGTATGAAAGAGAGATACTATTTAGTTTCTGGTTCTATTGACCTTGCCCCATATTAGAATTTGTTCTGTAAAACTTTGAGCCTGACAGTATCAACTCTGATCAGTAGTTATGTTCTATTAGTCTATAATTTGAAAGAGTTGATCACATCACTTATTTTCTGTGATTATGAAATATATCCTGCTTATTGAGACTACTAGTTATATTCCACTTGGGTGGAGAGTTAGTAGGTCAGTGGATGTTGGTGAGTAAAGTTCTCTCTTCTTGACCCCTCAGATCTCAGGGATAGAAGAGACTATGAGAAAAGAGTTTAAGCTGTTTAAATGTATCCTATTCTTTCCTTGGATAAAAATAATTCAGGTCTCTAACTAGTTTACAATTATTTTAACATTTCACATATTATTAATTGAAGTAATTTTTTGTTATGTTTATCTTCTTATTTGTATCCTTTTTTGATTTATTTAAACAACATATTTCTCAAATTAGGTTTGCAGTCCTGGGAAGACATTGACAAACTAAATTCCTTCCCCAAACTTGAAGAAGTGAGATTGTTAGGAATTCCTCTTCTGCAGCCATATACCACTGAGGAGCGAAGGAAACTGGTGATAGCCAGGTCTGTTGTCCTTACGCTTGCACTTCCCTCCCCCTTGGGGCCTGGTAATATCAATAAAGGAATGATACATGGTTTAGGAGGGTATGCACTACAAATTGATCTGACTCGTGCATACACTGCTTGAAGGAGCTGCATTGATAGCTCTAACACTGGAAGGGAAGGAATGCAGTGTGATGAGAAAAATGTGAAATGTAATTGGCCTGCCAAGACCACTGCAGAATTCCCTCAAAATCTATTTTATTTTATACTTTTTGATACATATGATATTTGAAATTCTGTATTAGGGCATGAGGTAATACTAGGTACAACAGGAAATCAGTTGTTCTTATTTTCATTAACATAGTGGTCATTTAAAGTGTAAATACCTAAAAATGGGGCTGTTTCAGTAATGTAAACCTAGAGAGAGCAGCATCTGTATTTCTCATCTTGTGGATCAACATAGATACAACCACAATATTGTAATCTTCTTCCTTCGATTCCCATGTCTCTGCTGTGTCAGACCCCCACACATACTGCAGTGGCCCAGGAAAGTTTATTTTTGTATGTGCCTTCAGGAGCAGTGATATTCAGCTGAAATGTCAAGGGCCAGGAACTTTGACTTATTCTGTTTGTGTACTGTAGACAGTAGTTTTAACAGGAGAACAATAGGCTCTAAAGCTCTCTGTAGAAGAGTGGTCATTTAAAAGGGGGTGTGGATCTTTCTGACCACCTGACAGCTTGCAGATCTTCACCGCTTTCCAGTGTTGACATGCACATTAATACCTCACTGTCCTCACTTCCTAGTGAGTGTCAGCATTGTTTTCTTCTAAAAAGAAGTCTTGCAGTAGGTCTTGTATTTTATTTTTTACACAGTTCTTTTTTAAAATATAATGAATTAATTACTGAAGCACATAAGCCAGTTGTACTGATTCCTGTGTCGACTTATGCTGTGCCATGCAGCACCAACTGGGCGCCTTGTGTGACTGTGGGGTCCTTGAAATGTGGCTGGTCTGAGTGGGAGTGTGCTTGGTGTGTAAACTGCATTGGGTTTCAAACACTTCTTGTGACAGAGAGTGTGTGAAGTACCTCATTAGCTATCTTTTAGTGCTGACTGCAGGTAAAAATGACTATATCCTGCATCTATTAGGTTAAATTAAAATATTAAAATTAATTATATCTATTTTATTTCTACTTTTTAAAATATAGCTGTTAGAGAATTTAAAATACAGATGTGGCTTTCATTATAGTTAAGTTGGACATTGTGCAATGAGTTCTGATGATGAAAGTTCAAGTGAAACTTTAAATTTTTTAGTCCTTTTGTTTTATACCACTTTAGTTTGTCAGTGGTTCTATACATGTAGATCTGCATCAAATGTGTCCTTTCAAGAGAATAAGACCGGGCTTCAAACCCACACTTTTATTTCCGAAGCTAAATATTTTTAGTATCTTAAAATGTCCTTATTTTGGTTTTGACTTACAGATTGCCATCAGTTTCCAAACTTAATGGGAGTGTTGTTACTGACAGTGAGCGGGAAGATTCTGAGAGATTTTTTATTCGTTACCATGTGGATGTTCCGCAGGAAGAAGTGCCATTCAGGTAAAAATTCCAATTAAAGTGTTAGTTTAACAGCACTTTAATGAATATTGAGGCAATTTAAACCCTATTTTTGTAGAGCAAATCTAATAATTTATCATTGGATCTTTTAGAGGTTACCGGAGATAGGTTATGAAAAAAGATACACAAAAGCAAACCAATTTTATTTCATTTTCCACAGTGTATTTCTTCTGCCTTGCACTGGGTAAGTATTTGACTGTTTCCACTCCATACTTCATATCATCGATCCCTTGTAATTCACTTCTCTGGGGGGATGACTTCCCTGTGCCCCAAACTGGTCTCTTTTTTTCACATTGCATCTGCATTTAGGATATACTAAGTTCTGCAATTTGGAAGATTTGGCAAATGTGTATGAGGTTTAGAGAATATGCAGAAAGGACTGGAAAATAGACTGCAGGAAATATTAAAGGATTTTAGTTTGAGTATGAAGAGAAGGGCCAAATTAGTAAACTGCCTTTAAGTATATGAAGAGTATATATATGTAGTTTGGTGAGGAACTACCTTTAATACTGTGTCAATATAAAAGGAAATGTGACAGATGTGATAAAGGTAAATAGAAAAGAAAAAAATTCCCCAAACAGGTTTCTAGTATTGGTAACTATACTCAGTCACCCACATGCTTACATACGTTCTAAAATGACTTTAAGTATAATTTGGATTCCCATTTAACATGAGGAGATTCAGACAAACAGGATACAGGTTAGGAGCGAATGTGTCAAATTACTTGGTCCTCCTGGTAACAAATTTCTGTGATTCTAATTCATTCTTACTAAGCATATTCATTTTTCCCCCAACGTTCTCTATTATTTATAGGCTTTATGCGGGTCAGCATCCATAAAGTTCAACCCATGTTGTATAAAAAGATTTTGTGGCATTATTAGTGTCCAATAGAATTTTAAAGCCTAAGCCTTTAAAAAAAATTGGAGCAATTAAGTAATGATTTAGAAGGTAACCTTTTAAAATTAGCTAAGAATAGCCGAGTAGAGAGAGATCGGTATTACCATGTCTTTTAATACAACCCAGAAATATTAGGTTCAACTGCATGAAATTTTTTAGGTAAAAAGTGGTCCAATATCTATAGTTTTGTTTGATTCAAGCTAACATAGTAGTGAGAGAAGTAAGTATTTTAGTTTTGAGTCAGAACCTTTCATTATAGTTTGCTTAACTTCTAGTCTGGGCAAGAAGTGCGTGTGTGTGTTTGTGTATGTGAATATATGTGTGTATATATATGCACACAGACACATGTATGCAGTGAATTGTTTTGTTTCTGATGGCATATGTATCCCAAGTGGCATTTATGTCTCTCTACTAGTTGGTGTTCTTGAAAAAAGGTCATAGAAATCATCTTTAATTAGGGGAAGAATTTGTTGGAAGGATACTGAGAAAATAAAAGGATTGTTAGGCAGGCTGAAGGACTAGGATTAGACAGGAACTGAGGGAGGCAAGGATAGCCAAAGTTTCAACCCAGGATATGTTTTATATACTTCTGCTGACACTCACATCTAGACACTACAGTGCTGTGCTTTACTACTGGATACTTGCAGCTGTGTTATGGATTTTGATTCCCCCATAAGTTTTTAGAATAATCTCTCACTGATCTTTAATTTATTCTGTAAGTGTCAAAAATGTGCATCTGACCAATTGGTTGGCTATATCAGCAGAGTATATGCTCATACTCTGTTTCCCAAAAGATAAGGAGAGAGATTATCTGCTCCACTTCTGCAGTGAGGTAGACTTGGGACTTTTCCCCAAATAGAAACAATTCAGCAAAAAGAATACAGTGACCCCTCATCTATTGTGGGAGTTACATGCCAGAGACCCTTGCAATAGGTGAAAATCCGAGAAGTAGTGGCATTATATTTATTTTATTATTTATATATATTTTAAGGCTTTATAAACCCTCCCCACATTCCTATAAACCTTTCTCAGTCTCTTATTGACCTCTCCCACACTCTTATAAACACTTCATATGCTCTAAAATACTTTCTACACTCTTAAACCTATGTAATTTTAACAACATATAAAATTCTATATGGGTACTCACCAGTGAAGTGTACAGTCATCCCTCGCCATATCATGGTTCACTTATTGCGGCTTCACTGTATTGCGGGTTTTAAAAAACACGCAATAAGTGAACTGTAGTATGGCTAGGGACGGCTGTATTTACTATAGTCTGCCACTCTGACTACTCAACACCTACACACATCTTTTTCTGGCAGTTATATTTAAAAAATTATTCTTACCTGCTCTCATGTATTCCTTGTACAAATCATTTTACTGTCTCTGAAATTAGATTACCCATTTATTCTAATCCTAAGCAGTCTGATTGATTACGGTAAAAGATGCATGCAGTCAAGGATTCTAATGATCACTCTGGAGATCCAATATGGTGTCAGAGCAGGTGGAAGATAGACTCAGCTCCTCCCAGGACCAAACTGGAGTTACAAATGAAGCAGAGCAGTCAGCTTGAATAACCACTGGCTAGCTAAACAGAAGTCTCATAACTAAGGATTTACAGAAGAAGGCACATTGAGACTGGTAGGAAAGGGCAGAACACCCATGTGCTGTAGTTGAGAATCGAGAGGGTTATCTTATCTGCAAAGGTCCTCCCTGAGCAGTGGCAGGTCTCAACCCGATTCCATGTTTTCTAGCCAAGGGAACTAGTACTGGGGAGAGGAGCCCACATAATATCTGGCTGTGAAAACCAGTGGGGATTTTATCTGCCATGTTAAGACAGGAGTCTTCTAGAAACTCACTCACCCTCTAAAAGGGCCAGGACAAAAAAATCTCATTCATGGCCACTCACCCTGGGCTCCAGCACGTGGAAGACAGCTCAGAGATTGGGTTGTATGGCTTCAAGGGGAGAACTAATGAGACAGCTGCCATTATCCCAGTGCCAAGTCCCAGCCCACAGATGCCATCTTTCCTAGGTCAAGCACTCTCCCTTCCATATGCTCAGTCTGGTTAGATACAGTGGTCCCCTCTCCCAACCACCTGAGGCCCCGCCCTGCCAAGCTTGTGCCCTATAGAGGAGTTTGCTGGCTGCAGCCAGCCTAGGCCTATGATACAGACTCTCTTGGAAGGCTCTTGAGGGAGCTCATTTCCCTACCTACCCACTGCTTGCTCACCACACACCTCAACTGGCACTACCATTCTTGTATAGAGCCTTTTCTTCACAGAGCCAAATCTTAGTCTGTTTCAGTTTGATGAACTCTACTGGCTTTACCCTGAAAACTCCCTGAGGCCACAAAGGTTCACAGGCTTTTAGGCTGGTGGCAACCGGCCTCAATATACCCTGAGACTTCTGTTGAGTGCCCTCAGAAGCAGCAGTATTACCAAGATTGAATCTGAATCAACCTGGTGGACATTACTCTTACCTGGTGATTCACTGAGACCTGCCTCACATAACTTGCATACTGCTAGTGGCTCCTTCAGTGACTAAGCCTAACAGGTAGCCCACAGGTGGAGGCCTATTTCCTGATAGCTTGTTGTCTTTTGCTGACCTGCCCCCATCCTGTTACTGGTGGAACCCAAATTGGTATGGAGCTTGGCTGCTCCCATGTACACCCAGGCCCAGCAGAGGCAGCCACAAACTGTGGATTGTTTTGTAGCTCCAAACAGGTAGCCCAGGACCAATCACATGCAGTGTCTGGCATTGACCTGCACCAAAGTGCCTTCTAAGAGATCCGAGAAGTAACATGCTGTGCAGCTACCTTTAGATATCAGAGCACAAGCCATTTAGCTTCTCAAGCTGAATACCAAAAGGGAGATCTTAGCAGGCACCACACCCTGTTGCATGAATTCCACTTAATGGGATCAGCTCTTGAACAGAAGCTAATATATTGTGGTTGAGGTCAACCCTCACAGCCAAACTGAGAGTCAACCCTTCCCATGGACAGGATGGGCCAACAGCAGTCAAGACTCAACTACAACAGGAGGGCTTATTTATCCTACCCAAGCAACGACATTCCTGGAGCACCTAACTCAAGTAATCAGGAAGACTGCACCAATGAGCCTCATAGGACACCTACTACCTAAGGCCACCCTGCCATGACTGGGAGGTAATATACAGAAAGAAGCGCAAAGAGGCAGCCAAAATGGAGAGGCAAAGAACATGTCCCAAATGAAAGAACAGAAGAAATCCCCAGAAAAAGAACCAAATGAAATGGAAGCAAGCAATCTACCAGATACAGCATTCAAAACAATGATTGTAAGGATGTTCAAGGAACTTGGATGGATGAGCTAAGTGAGAACTTAAAGAGATCATAAACATATAAAAGGACAGAGAAACCATAAAAAAGAACCAGTAGGAAATGAAGAATACTATATCTGACATGAAGAATACACTAGAAGGCATCAGCAATAGATTAGATGAAGCAGAGCATTGAATAAGTGATTTGGAAGGCAAGGTAGCAGAAAACACCCAATCAAAGAAGTAAAAAGGCAAAAAAAAAAAAAAAATGAGGAGGGACCTCTGGGATAACATGAAGTGTTAACAACATCCACATTATAATGTTACCAAAAGGAAAAGAGGGAGAGCATGGGACTGAGAACTAATTTGAAGAAATAATGACTAAAAACTTCTCTAACCTGGTAAAGAAAAAAGATACTCAAGTCTGGGAAGCACAGCAAGTCCCAGTAAAGATGAACCCAAAGAAGCCCACAACAAGACACATAATTAGAATGGCAAAGGATAAAGCCAAAGAGAAGATATTAAAAGTAGCAAGAGTATGACAGTTATGTACAAGGGAGCCCCCATAAGAGTGTCAGCTGGTTTCTCAACAGAAACATTTCAGGCCAGAAGGGAGTGGGATGAAATATTCAAAGTGATGAAAGGCAGGGACTACAACCAAGACTACCCTAAAGAGCAAGTCTTTCATTTAAAATTGAAGGAGAAATAGGGAGCTTCCTAGACAAGGAAAAGCTAAAGCAGTTCATTAGCACCCAAACAGTAATATAGGAAATGTTAGAGGGACTTCTTTAAGAAGAAAAAAAGATTTCTTTAAAGCAACATAATTATTAAGAATACAATGGCAATACATGAGTACATATCTATAATCACTTTTAGGTAATTAAGGTAAATGGATTAAATGCTCCAATCAAAAGACACAGGGTAGCTGAAAGCATAAAACAAGTCCATATACGTGTATATAGAAAATTCCCACCGAGGCCTTGCTTCCTATT